GTTTTTCTCATTGTTGCACTTTCCATTTTTCTTAAAGCTTGTTCCTAATAAGCCCTTGTGATTGTCCTGGGTCCATTGAGAAATCTATCAAGGTTACTTCTGTGGAGTTCCAAAATACAGTCACTATAACATTTCAAGGAGCTCTGGTGGCATAGGGAATTAAACACTAGGCCACTAATCACAAGGTGAGCTGTTTGAAACCATCAGCCACTCTATAAGAGAAAGAGGAGGCTCTCTACTCCCACTAATAGTTACAATCTTGGAAACCCACAGGGGCAGGTCTACCCTGTGCCACAGGGTCACTGTGAGTCAAAAATGACTTGATGGCACGGAATTTAGTGAGATAGCCTTCTCTGAGCTGACCTCTCTGCCTTCAGTCTTCCTCTCTGACCAGGTCCCTCCGCCACCGTTGGTTTTGTACCCCGGTACCGTTGGTTTTTGTTTTTTTAAGTACCCTAAGGCGAGTAAGACAAAGGTATTGCTGAGAGAACTTGTCCACATCTATCCACTGATTGCAGCTACGTTTAAAACCTCCCTGGCGGTAATCCCGAGTGTGGCTCCGGGTAAATGTTAACTGTCAGAAGAATTTTATCATACCTGGAATGTCTACTAGAGATATTAAAATGAGTAATTTCTTAAGAATTACAGGCCTACAATATAAAACAAATTTTATGCAAAACAATGTACCGCTTTGGGTACAAAATTACTGACATAATTAGACTGCCAGGGAGGCACTTCGTTTGGAATAAGCGTGTGTGTGTGTGTGTACGCGCATGTGTGTGTGTGTGAGAGAGAACTGGCACCCAGTTGCAGTACTTTTTAACTTACCCTTGGATTAATATTGTCAATCAGTGTGAATTTACCTTCGTATGGAGCTTTCGATATGTAAAGTTAGTGATTGCAATTACTTCTTTGATTTGTTACTATGTAATGCAATGGTTTTGAATATCTGAAAAGTATAATATGAAACTGAGGTGATATCTTTACTAGAGAATATCTTAAAACAAATCATGACTTTTCTTATTTCCCAGCTACTACAACTTGGGTGATGTGAGCCATGATTCTGTGAACAAGTTTCTGTCTAACCTAGTTGAAAAATCCCTGGTTGCACTGGAACATTCCTGTTGCATTGAAATTGGAGAGGTAAGAATCACCACATGCTTTAATTGCAAAGATTGTTCACCCTTTTTATAGTATGGCTTTTACCTCTGCTGATAACCAAAATCATTAACAAAAGTATTTCAATAACAACCTACAGTATGGATTATTTATTTATTTCATTAAGTACCTCTGTATTATTTATGGTTTGTTTGTTTCTTTCTTATCTTTCTTTTGAAATAGGATAATCGCAGCATTGAACCTCTGACATGCGGCCGAATTGCCTCCTATTACTATTTGAGGCACCAAACAGTCCGAATGTTCAAGGAGCGTTTGAAACCCGAAAGCAGTGTTGAAGATTTGCTGTCCATTCTGAGTGTGAGTATTCTGAAGTTACTGCGTTGTTTTTAATATAAAGATGTCCAATTTTATACCTTGTATACCTTCTCCTTCGAGTCTTAAATTGTTACCATCTAGTTCGTGGTCCTTGTCAGAAACTGTGTTATCAAGTCTTTCCTCGGTCAAACATGGGCATGAAAATGCAGCATAATGTGGGCTCAGTGCCCCTGACCGAGGGGAGCACCTTATGTGTCACTTGAACCTGGATCCTCTTGAGGTAAATCAGCGTGCTATTATACTAATACAGGTGTAGATTGTGCTGTCTTTGGCATAGCAAATGATTTCCCTGTACTGACTTGTAATACCCTTTCAGAATTACTCTTGAAAACTTTTCTTAATCTTCCATTTTGGGTGGTTTATACTTTCCCATGATGTTACTGAAATTTATTTACATAACAGTTCGGATAAAAGGTTTCTTAGCGCCTTCTGCTAGTGAAGATGTTTTACGGCACCTTCACCCCTTGTCACTAATTTGCCCCTCACTAACACACCCCTCCACACACAAATCAGGTTTATCAGATTGTAGAAACTATCCTGTCTTGAGTGTTGCCCTCTGGTGAGGAAGCTAGTAACTAAATTTAATATTTAAGGTAAAATTACTAGTTAAGACCATTGTACCTTCATTTTCTTTTACTATATACTTGGGAACTTAAAAAATTGCACCATCTTTTAATATCATGTTTCACAAACTTTTTAAGCCGCCTCTTATATATGACTTTCTTCTTCTTTTTTATGGTTTAGAATGAGTGTGATAATTTATCAGAAAACTTTGTTGGCATACTAGGCAACATATAAAATATAAATCCTGTGTATTCCAGTGGGATAAAAATGTTTACTCATTTGGAGGATGAATTCTTTCACAGCTGCTAACATCAGAAGTCACTTGCAGTTGGTTTCTCTTTTTTTATTAACAACTTGTCAGAGTGAAATGGAAGAAAATCCTGAACACATTGTTGAGAAACCCTACTAGCAATATGGCATCATTAGACCTATTCCATAATTTTCTGGACCTTAAATGGGGATAATAAGATAATAACCCTCAAAGGGTTAATGTGAAAAGATACCTGAAGCACCTAATGAAGCATGTTCATTTTCCATTTCCTTTGTATTTAAAACGAACCCTGGTGAAATCATTCTCAACAGACTGGCTGAGAGTAGAATGTAGCTCCCTCCCTCAAGGATTCTGAGTGCCCACCACTTCCTGGCAGCCACATGCAGATGTATTGCACGTTTTTAGTAAGTGAAGTACTATTGGACTAAGATGTCGTTAGGTCCTTCTCTCCTAAAATCTCTGATCCTGTTGGGAGTTCACATACTTATTAGCTGTTTTTCTACCCTCCATACTGCTTTAAATTTTTCAACAAGTTTCAACATCCTATTCACAGATTTAAAATCCCTCAATATTTTCCCCTTTCAGAAACTAGTGTATTGACTCTGTACCCATTATAGGATCAAGAACTTTGTACTTTGTAGTATTATTGATGGATGTATGAGTATTATATTTTCTATTTATTCTGTAAAAGAGAATAGAAGTAGTCATTTTAAAGAGTAATTTTATAGGAAATAGGGGAGAACTAGGAGAGAGAGGGTATTTATAGAGGTCTAAATACAGGCATGTACATATGTAAATATATTTATATATGATGATGGGTAGTAGATCTACATACATATATTTATAGATTTAGTACTAAGGTAGCAGATGGACATTGGGCCTCCACTCAAGTACTCCCTCAATGCAAGAACACCTTGTTCTATTAAACTGGCATTCCATGCTGCTCACCTTCCCAACAAGATCGCTGAAGACAAAGTGGGTACATATGCAAATGTGGTGAAGAAAGCTGATGGTGCCTAGCTACCAAAAGATAATGTCAGGGATCTTAAAGGCTTGAAGATAAACAAGTGGCCATCTAGCTGAGAAGCAACAAGATCCGCATGGAGGAAGCACA